AGGGACCACCACCCCGGTCTGTCAATCCTCCTGTGGACTCACTACCCGCAGTGGGAGTCATAGGGGTCGGGTGCAGAGAGGACTGCGTGGCGGTCGAGGGGGGCTGCCTTGACGGCCTGGTCCGCATACACAGCCTCTGGTTGTTGGGACGTGGAACGTCACCTTGCTGGAGGGGAAGGAGCCTGAGCTTGTGCGGGAGGTTGAGTGGGTTGGAGTGGTCTTGCTTATTGTCCCCCAGCTTAGCCGCCATGTGTTGGAGTTCACCCCAGTGAACGAGAGGGTCGCGTCCCTACGCCTTCGGGTTGAGGACCGGACTCTCACTGTTGTTTCGGCCTACGGGTCCAACAGCAGTGCAGAGTACCCGGCCTTCTTGGAGTCCCTGGGAGGGGTACTACATAGTGCCCCAACTAGGGACTCCTTTGTTCTACTGGGGGACTTCAACGCCCATGTGGGCAACGACAGTGAGACTTGGAGAGGGGTGATCAGGAGGAACGGCCTCCCCGATCTGAACCCGAGTGGTGTTCTGTTGTTGGACTTCTGCGCTAGTCACAGTTTGTCCATCACGAACAACATGTTCGAGCACAAGGGTGTCCACATGTGCGCATGGCACCAGGACACCCGAGGCCGGAGGTCGATGATCGTCTTTGTAGTTGTATCATCAGACCTCCGGCTGCGTGTCTCAGACACTCGGGTAAAGAGAGGGGCCGAGCTGTCCACCGATCACCACCTGGTGGTGAGTTGGATCTGCGGGCAGGGGAAGAAGCTGGTCAGACCTGGCAGGCCTAAGCGTATCGTGAGGGTCTGTTTGGGACATCTGGTGGAACCCTCTGTCAGCAGGGTTTTCAACTCCCACCTCCGGGAGAGCTTCTCCCAGATTCCGAGGAAGGTTGGAGACATGGAGGCTGAGTGGTCCATGTTCTCCTCCTCCATTGTCACTGCGGCCACTCGTAGTTGTGGTCGTAAGGTCTCTGGTGCCTGTCGCGGCGGCAATCCCCGAACCCGGTGGTGGCAGCCAGAAGTAAGGGATGCCGTCAAGCTGAAGAAGGAATCTTAGCTGTCATTTTTGGCTTGTGGGACACCTGAGGTAGCTGACAGGCACCGGCAAGCCAATCGTGCGGCAGCTTGTGCGGTCGCAGAGGCAAAAACTCGGGTCTGGGAGGAGTTCGGGGAGGCCATGGAGGAGGACTATCGGTCGGCCTCGAAGAAATTCTGGCAAACCGTCCGGCGCCTCAGGAGGGGAAAGCAGCTCTCCACCAACACTGTTTACAGTGCGGGTGGGGACCTCCTGTCCTCGACTGGGGAGGTTGTCTGGCGATGGAAGTGTGTCTCCTTAATCCCGGCATCACGTCTTCCGAAGAGGAAGTAGAGACTGTGGACTCGTCCATCACCCAGGCTGAAGTCACCGAGGTGGTGAGAAAGCTCCTCGGTGGCAGAGCTCCGGGGGTGGATGAGATCCGCCCTGAATACCATAAGTCTCTGGATGTTATGGGACTGTCCTGGTTGACACGTCTCTGCAACATTGCGTGGCGGTCGGGGACAGTGCTGAAAAGGCCACTTTTGCAATTCAGTGTCTCCTGTGAATTCCCTCACACAAAGTAACATCAAACATTGTTTGCCTTCATATTGATCATACTAGAGGACTATGTTTTCTTTTTTGTGGGAAACAGGTCCAAATGGCTCTTTGAGTGTTTAAGGTTGCCAACCCCTGATTTAGACTAACATATTCTTCATGCAGCAAGAAGGTCACCGGTTCGTGTCCCGGTTGGGGCACCGGGGTCTTGTTTGTATGTTCTCCCCGTGCAGTGTGGGTTCTCTCCGGGTTCTCCGGCTTCTTCTCACACAGTCCAAAAACATGTTGAGGTTAATTGGTGATTCTAAATTGTCCGTAGGTGTAATTGTGAGTGTGCTTGGTTGTCTGTCTCTAAGTGTAGCCCTGCGAGAGACTGGCGACCTGTCCAGGGTGTCCCCTGCCTTCGCCCTAAGTCGGCTGGGATAGGCTCCAGCCTCCCCGCGACCCTTGTGAGGATTAAGCGGTGTATAGATGATGGATGGATATTCTTCATGCTGCAGCCAGGTTTCAGTCAGACACATTAAGTCAATATGATGATCTGTTATCAGATCATTAACTAAAAGAGACTTAGATGACAGAGATCTAATATCAGTCCACATTTAATTGTCCTGTTTTTTGATTCTGATGGAGTTGTATTCATTTGGAAAAGGTTGTTGTGAACAGCCCTTCTATTATTAAAGTTAGACTGATAGAACCTGGGTGGTCGGTGGGGCAGACACAGTCTCTATAGGATATTGGGAGGGTGACAGCCATAGAGAAGCAGCAGAGAAGCGTGTTAGACTGCAACTCTGCTTCCTGGTCTCACCTCCGGACCGTCAAGGGTTTGGTTTTCTAATAAATTTCTCCATATTCCTAGATAAGAGAGTCCCACCAAAGTGGGATGTATGCCAACTCTCCTAATGAGACCAGGTTTCTACATGCCTTAAAACAATGTTTTGCGCACTGAAAAGGCAACTATTGCAATGCAATGTCTCCTGTGAATTCCCTCACACAAACTGCCTTCAAATAGCTTTTGCCTTCATATTTATCATACTAGAACACATTCTGAACCAGAAATATGTGCGTAAACACGAAGGTTCAAAAAGTACGACTTTGCTGTTTTTCATGCCTTCAAACAGCGTTTTGCGCACTGAAAAGGCAGTGTCTCCTATGAATTCCCTTACACGAAGTGACTTCAGGATTTGCCTTCCTATTTATCATATTAGAACACATTCTGAAGCCGATACATGAACCTGACGCACACAGGCACAATCGTTATGCAATATGCCTAAACAACAGGCACAATCTATACTCAATATGCACAGTAGAAACAATCAACCCACAATATGCATAAACAATGTCCGCGCACAGGCACAATCGGTGCACAATATGCACAATTGGCAAAATCAGCACGCAATATGCATAAATGATCGATACGCAATCGATATGCAATTGGCGTAAGCAATGCACGCATGCGCACAGGCACAATTGATGCGCAATATGCACAATAGGCACAATCAGTACGCAATATGCATGAACAGGCGCAATCGAGCCGCAATATGTATGAACAATCAATATGCAATCGATACACAATATGCATAAACAATACATGCATGCAAGCAATACGCAATATACACAATAAGCACAAGCAGTACCCAATATACATAAACAATACGCGCATGCAAGCAATATGCAATATGCACAATAGCCACAGTTAGACCTGTTAAGATGTTTTTGACTGAAATAGCTTTTGATTTCAGTAAATATGACCTTATAATGCTGCAAATTCAACAAATGACCATTTTCAGTTCTTTACAACCTATAAAATGTTTTGGAACTCTGCTGTGCGTAATAATTTGGAACAGTACATTTTAAGTTTTTTATTTTTGAAAAAAAAATACTGCTATCACTGGGAGGTTTGTTCAGTAACATTCAAATATACTTTAACGTTTGATGACTTGAAAATTATGCTGACTGTCATTTGCATCAATTATTTAGGAAAATCAAAGAAAAATACAATTTACATAATGATTTGGAACAGGATGTATTGCATGTTGTTTGTGCATATTGCGTATTGTTTGCACATATTGTGTATTGACTGTGCCTGTGTGCTTGCATGCGCGCATTGTCTATGCATATTGTGTACTGATTGTGCCTATTGTGCATGTTGCGTACTGATTGTTCCTATTGTGCATATTGTGTACTGACTGTTCCTGTGCACGCAAGCGTGTGTTTATGTTTGCACAGGCAATCAATACGCAATATGTATAAACAATGCGCACTCGCAAGCGCATGCACAAACACAATCGATACGCAATAGGCATAAACAATGTTCGCGTGCACAGGCACAATCGCTACACAATATGTGCAAACAATATCCAATACGGATAAACAATACATATTCGTACTGTGCACAGCTTGTGCTTGTGCGTGTTTGCGTGTATAGTGTATCGTTTGCATAGAAATACGCAAACAATACGCATTGTTTGTGCATACTGTTGGCAATGGTGTACACTCTTGCATGCATGCATTATTTGAGCGTATTGTGTATTGTTTGCACATATTGCGTATTGCTTGCGTCAAGACGCATCCCCACATTATGATGTTGCCACCACCATGCTTTACTGTACCGATGGTTTGTTTGTGATGATGTGCAGTGTTTCGTGCCTGCCAAGCATAGTGTCCAGTCTGATGGCCAAAAAGCTCAATTTTAGTCCCATCAAATCAAAGAATCTTCTTGTAGTTGACTTTAGAATTCCCCACATGCTCTAATCAAGGCTTAATATAATATTTTTCAACAGTGGTGTTCTCTTTGCTATTCTCCTATGAAGCGTTGACTGGTGGGGAATCCAGAGGAGTCATAGGTGTCTTGGTGGCCCCCCTCACTTGTCTCTTTCTTGCTTTTTAAAGATGTCCTACTCTAGGCAGATTTAGACATGTGCCATGTTCCGTCCATTTCTGTATTTCAGGAGGTATTCCATGATTACATTTTTTGTATATATATCCCTAATTCATGCTTTTCAATAATCTTTTTCAGGAAGTTGATGGAAGCATTCTTTTGTCTTCATGGTGTAGTTCTAGCCAGGAAACTAATTCACCAGTGACTGGACCTTGCAGATACAGGTGTCTTTCTACTACAGTTGCATGCATTGGAAGTATTCTGCTAGGGAAATTTCGTGTTGATATCTATTAGTTTAAAAAAATGCTGCTCTACTGTTGTGCCGCATTTCAAATACATACAGAAATTTTAATGCCTTTTAAATGTGGTTTTTCTCAGACTCAGTTCGATGACATATATGATACAGAGAAAAAGGAGTGCAGAGTGAGACGTCATTTTCCCTCCAATCTGTTAAAGGCCCGTTGAAAGTGTGCCATCTACAGGCAAGAATACTGACTGCCAAGAACAGAAGTGAGAGGTTCAGGTGTATTGTGGACATGCAGCGACTGTGAGTAATTTTCCTTCAACCTTTATTTAAAGTACACTGAGGTATGTACTTTACAAGCATTACAAAGTAGATGAGTAAGAAAAAAAGATGCAGACAAACAAATAAAAAACTTGGATAACAATACAAATAAGACAAAGTTACTCATATGATAATATTGTACTAACATTGCTGTAAATAATAAGATAAAAAAATATGACAATAGAGGAACACAAATATATTCCCCTAAAATTTGTAAATATTAAAACTATGAATTAAGTGTTTGTTTACATTTGTTTGAATCCAAAGTTTCAAACTGACATCCAAAGTATCCACTGACAGGTACAGTAAAAAAGAAAAGTGTGAGTAAGACAATCTTGTGGAAAAAAAAAAATAAACAAAAAATACAAAATGACTACAAAAAATGAAAACGATCTGTTTAAGTCCTTATTTGTAATAAATACAATGTTTGGTTCCAGTAAATTCAGTATGCATCACAGAGGAATGTTTTCATGGGTTGTCCTCGTGGCAACAATGGTGCAATAAAGCCAGGAGACGCTGTCTCTGATGTTCATGGTTCCCATAAAGACACAACACTTCAGCTGTGACAGTAACTTCATCAAAGCGTCACATTGCACACTGTGTACTTGGAGCTCATGCAAAGTGTTAGAGTTGGTGATAAAGTTCAACTTTATTGAAAAAGAACTTTCAGTTCGTTATGTCCCAAAAGGATACTTTAGTCTTTTGGCAAACCAGCAGGCAAAAGTGTTCCAGTCACTTCCTTCTCAAGTTGGCTTCATCTGTATTAAAAAAGAGAAAAAAAAAATGTGTTCATATATGAACTCAATGGCAGAATGGAAATCATATACAGTGCATGTAGGCCATGTGATAAACACAGGAAGACAATAGCTGCATTGTATGAGGTGTAATAACAGTATCGTACTAGCGTAGTCCTCCGGTGTCATGGGTTGACAGATAACCTTTCTGAAGGCCTCCATCCACTCCTTCTGCTCTTGCTCCTGTTCGCACATGAACACAAACTGCCTGCCTGGAGTCTCAAATGTGATCCCACAGCGCCACCGTCCTCCCCTCATGCTCCGGCCACTGCTCTCCGAAACAGAGTACCCATGGTTTTCTGTGCCAATGAAGACAGCTCCAAGCTCATTAGCATCCTGAGTACACAAACAAGCAGCACAGAGAAACACTTAAAGAAGACCTCTTAAGACTCGAGCTCTTGTTTGATATGCATTTTTTTTTCATATATATATATATTTCTCTTTGCTATTTGACCTGATCAAATAGCAAAGAGGAATCAAAAATAAAAAATGTAAAGAATATATATATAATAGATAACAATAGTAAAATAATAATAATAGAAATAAAAACAAATTTAAAAAATTGATTACTGTGGTAGCATAACCCAAAATGTGATGTCCACGTGGTACTGATCAATCAGAAAATCCTTCTTCATGACAAAATCTCAGCCACATATTGGACTAATTCTTCAGAAGGCACACAAAATGTTTATTTTGTTTTCAACACAGGATCTTTGACACTAAAAGGAAATTACAAAGCTGCTTCAGAAACTGAAATCCCTGAGAAATTCAGCCTCCTGAAGCAGAAGAGAAGAACAGAATGTATTTAGTTTACAGCGTCACACTCCTCCTGAACAAAAGCTGGTCAAATTTCCTGTACGCTGACTTCCTTTACCCTCATATGTAGAAGTACATTTTTGCCACGACAAGAGGTTAAGTTAAGGTAAATACTGAATACAGTGGCAACATTATAAAAATACAGTTTATTATTGGAAAGTCTACACAGTATTTACCAGTAAATCTCATGTTGTACTGCAGAGTGCTGTATTTAGTTACAGAATAACTGTTTAAGAAGCGTCATCTTCGATAGTTCACACCCTGGGCACAGCCTTTTCTCACTGTTGCCCTCAGGAAAGAGGTACCGGTCCATCAAGGCCCGCACATCCAGACTCACCAACACATTCTACCCAAGTGCAATACGGGTACTGAATGAACATTAGTCTATAGTCTGTACTATTTATCACATATATTTCTTATTTATACTATACTATACTATACTATACTATACTATACTATACTATACTATACTATACTATACTATACTATATATTATATTATAATTATGTTTTAACAACATTTAACTGAAATGGAATTGTTTATTCATTTACACAGTTACTTTTTACACACACGCTGGATATTGTAGAATAATATCAGTTCATTACCAGTGGAGATTTAAAATACAGAAGCTTTCTGTTCACTGCGCTCAGAGTGAACCACCTCTTCTTGAATGGCTCCCGTTGCTGTAAACATGCACAAATACAGACCACTCCAATTAGCTTAGAAGACCAAAGGTAAGTACATCCAATTAATCTTGATAATAAATTCTGGTAGCTGACAGACCGTTGGGCCAGTTTTCTCCATGTACCCCTCCATCAGGCAACGCGTCGTTATTTGAGGTATTAACTGTACAAATAAACACAAGTTTAAATGAGGCAGTTTAACACTTTCACAATCTGTAGATGCAATCAAAATTGTTCAACCCCACTGAGTTTGTTTTCAAATGATAATGAATATCTATAAATACAAAATAAATGACAAAATGAAGTTAAATACGAATGGAAACGATCTTTCTGAGTAGAAGTATGTGTTTGTAATATTGCTGTTCTAATCATGGAAGACAAACAAATGCAGGTAAAATTGTGGGAACTCTATAAATTTGTCTTAGTTGCAATACATCCATCCATGCATTATTTATACTTTGCTTTATCCTCTGTAGAGTTGTACCTACAGACAATTTAGAATTGCTGCAATATGTACTGTTTATAAATTCAACCTGTGCAGATGTTCAAACTGAGTAGAAAATATGACAAACATAATCAAGATGTCTCAAAAAATACATTAATTACAACAAAAATGCTGTGGTTTTAAAGAAAAAGAAAAAAACACAATCATAGCACCACAGCTGGATGTGGAAGAAGGAATAATATTTCTCCATTGAGAATCAGACATTTAATAGCAAGAGCTGAGAAATACTCTTGTATTACCAGATAAGACAATGGCAGGTGGACCTTGTGAAGAGAGGAGCAAAAGTATCGGTACAGACTGTTAGAAGAACACTAAATAGACATGGAGTAAATCCCTGTACTCCATTCTTGACAAATGAAAACTAAAAAGGGTTCTAGGACTCAATTTTATAGAGCGATGACAAATAACTGAAAGTGATTTGACCCAAGAATCAGTGGTAAATCTGTTCAAGGTCTATATAACAACAGTCAAGTTTTCAGAGGGTCCTTCCTGTTGTTGAGGTGTTTTTTGTTGTTGTCGTTCTTGTTTTTTTTTTAATCAATTTCTAAATTAAATTTTATAGATTATTAGGGATTTACTGAAGCTTTCTGCGAGACAATGCTGAATACATCCAAGCCAATCAAAAGTGCCTCAGAATTCATTTCTGGAACATTCTTAAGTGGGCATCTCAGTGGCCCAGTTTGAATTCTGCTGTAAATATTTGGTGGAATTTAAAAACAGCAATATGGAAGTCGAAGAATATTAGTAAAGTGGAAGACTGTGAACATGAGGACCGGATTAAAATCCCAAAAGTCACAAGAAAACTTGCAAAGGTGATCAAAGAGGTCAAATGAGAATAGAAAGCAGTGACTTTGAAGGTTGAATAACTTGCTTTAGAGAAAAAATTGTTTATCTATAGTTGTATTAACAGGTTCAACAATATGTTCTCAAAAATCACATATAGTTGTCTATCATTAAGCTTTCTGTTTAAATCGTCCTGCAGGTTGAGGGGGTTGAATAATTTTGATTGCAACTGTATACAGTTAATCCTAAGGAAAATTTGACTCACGTCATTGTCTCGTAGAGTGGGATGTTTCTTCAGGAGGTATGCGAACCGTGTTGCCCGAATAGCATTGAAAAAAGATACAATTGCCTGTAAGGGATTGGAGATAGAACAGTATATCATGAACAGTTAAACAAGGCTGCTGATTCCATGGGAATGTATTATCTGTCTGGATATTTTCATACAGTTTAGTAAACCTGGGCATGAATATGTTGTACACAGTATGTGTGAGAAGGCCTGCTGAGATTAGATTACATAGGTTTTGTCAGCTCTAACATCAACTGTAAGATTGAAAAGTAGGAGAATGAATCCATGCACTGATTCGGTTTCAGTGCTACACGTTCTCTCTGCTGCGTTCATCAAAACAAAACATTTAACTGCTTTAAGTAAATACAGCAGTTGGCCTCACCTGTCCGTTCATGTGGTAAACAAATAGGTTCCTCATACGTTCATCCTCCAGGTAGGAGATCTGCAGACCATGAGCATGACCAATCTTCTCTGGCTGGAAAACTGCATTCAGATCCTTCATGCTGATGACAGCTTTGGGAACCTTGGACTTGGTTTAAATGAAAAAAATTAATGAGATTTGACAAAGCTATTTGACTGTAACTTAAGTATGCAAATGAAATATTGTAAATGAAATGGTCATGTAACAAAAAAAAACAAAAACTGCTCACATCTTCTTTAATGAAGTATCTGAGGGTGAAGTCTGTCCGCGACAGCAGGAAGATCCTCTTAAGAAACTGTTTGTTGTCTTTGCCCTTCTTCCATAGTGTTGACTCAAACAGATCTATTGCAGACAGCAAATAGTTCAAAGAAATGAAAAGTAACTCAATTGCAGCTTATTAGCAATGCATAATTGTGAATATTTTTTGGACTGGGAGATTATTTCCTTGTCAGTATAATGGCAGGATGATCACCTGAGCTATAGGATTGCAGAAAGTAGTTGTTTTCTCCAGTGAATTCCCGCCTTTCATACTTGGCACGGATCCACTGATCCCTGAGAACACTGAAAACAAGCAACATAATTATTAGCTCTTCATTATGGATGAAGTAAATACAAGTTCATGACCTATAAATGAGAAGCTTTTAATAACTACATTAGCTCCGCCTATGCACTGTTCCTCTTTCTACATGTGCAACAAGACCACTTGTTTTGACCACCATTTGTTGAGTCTTCACTTTTCACTTCTGCTAATGAGATTTTTTTAAAAATGCAGTGACAGTCACTCACACACAGTCTTTTTGTTGTGGCCGGTAGAAAAAGGCAGGGACACATTTTTCAAAAATGGCTTTGGCTGCAGTATTGCCCCTCTCTTGCATGAACTGAAACCACAGGATGTGAGAACAACGAAAGTTATAAGAAGACAATTAATATTTGTTCAGTTACTCTTTATTTTTGTAGATTCTTGTCTTACAGAATAGAACTACTACGACAAACTGCTTGTGATAAATTCTAAACAGCTATGTTTCTTTTTAAACTTCAGTGTGATGGACAGAATCAAAATTCAAAGGGTATATCTGTCAAATGCTCATAATGCAAGGGAAGTGAACTGCAGGATCACATGCTGCTGAGACAATGATAAAAAGATGAAAGCTAAGAAATAAGAAATAGGAGGAGAAATATGTAAAACAAAATACAAAGAACAAAATCTAAACACATTATAGACATACAGTATTGATACTGCTCAAGAAATAACTGCAAACTTAACAAATCAAAGTTAACTGAATAAATAAAAAGTCTATGTTTCTCTGCAGGACAAGAATGCCAACTACAAATGAATACCTCGACTAGTGAATCATCCCAGTGGTCCAGCCGAATTGATTTCACTTTGCTGACAGTGGGCAGATTACGATGCATCCCTGAGCAGTTCAGGCACACAAAGACACCAAGAGTGTAGGAGGCCCAGTCAGGATCTGTGAGCAAAGGTAATCACAATGTTGATTTCTGAGAAGAAACTAAATACAATGTATAAGTGTCTTTTTTCATGGCAAACACAGAGTTATTGAATTTAATAACGAAATAAACTAAAATACAACGCCATGTTTCTCGGTTCCTTCTTTTCACCCATGCACACACTGCATTAACCGTCCATGTCAGTGATGGTGGCAAAGTGTTGGGAGTTATAGGAGGAACAATGAGGTCATAGCACAGATCTACAGCAGCAGCCTGTTCCCCTTATTAACGTTTATTACAAAACGTGACTTGGTTATAAAACAGAATTTTAGACATTCCCATGGCTCAACAGTGCAGGCTCCTGTTTACTACTTTTTACACTTTGATAAAGAAAACATTTGAATTCACAGTGAAATCAAGGATAATGGCGAAAGAGTTACATATTGTTGAAAAAGTACAGATCAGTTTCAGTGTACTCACCAGGAAATCCACAGTCAGCACACAAGTTGTTCCCCGGCTGTCGCACCAAATCAAGCAGGATTTTGTTATTTCTTTCCAGATTTGCCATAGATTAAGGTAGTTTGCATCTGTCAGACTGACAGATGAATCCCAACAAAACAGCCACCAGGTATTAACTCCATATTGATTCTACACACTCTATATTGCAGAACTATTCTGCGCTGTAGCAGGTAAAAACATAATTTCTTCTCACTGGCTGGTGGCCCAGTATTTCCTCTTACCAGGGCAGCATCATGAAGTTTATTGTTCTGCTACAAATGCAGAGGTCCAGAAATAACAGAAAGGAAGTGAAACATACGTCACTCTGTTACAGGGTGACTGACTTGTAGTTCTATTGAAAACTGTGAGTTTGACTGGTGTGGAGGAGATGTTATCTTGTTTGTAATGTTAGGGCTTAACTTAAATGAGCATATTTTGCAATAAATTAAAACAAATGGTAGAAATAACAAATATATCTCTTTTTCCTAGGAAATTATGCAGATTTCTTTCTTCACAGTGCAAAATCTATTTTTTGTCCGATTATAAGTTAAATGTTTTTGGCACCACCAGACAAATGAAGAAAGAAAGAATGGGGACAGACCTGCAGCAAGGGGTTGTGAGCGGGATTCGAACTCACGACCGCTGCATCGGGGAACTACAGCCCCTGTTCATGGGCCGCCCACTCTACCAGGTGAGCTACAGGGGGGCCCTTATTGTGCCTGGTTATACAAATGTTTTGATTTACATCTCCTTGATTCTTCTGCACAGCTAACAAATTCCTCATTTACTATTTTAACAGTATGGATTTGTAATTTGTAAGTGTGGAGTAACAGAACCATAACCACATTCTAATCACAAGCTACAATCTTGGGTAAGTTGTCTGACAAGCATGTTATACACTTGTGCATAAATCTTATCAGTAGATTACATGGACCAGACGGTATCAGTGGACGTTTCCTTAAAGCCTGCGCTGAACAACTGGTTCCTGTGTTTTCTGTAATATTTAACCTCTCCCTCACACAGTGAAAAATGGGGGGAAAAAATGAGCGATGCTAGACATGCAAAACAACCTCAAACTCAACCAGACAATCAATCAATGAGAAAAAGAAAAAAAAAGAAGGAGAAGCAAAGGTTGGTTTTCACACCAGCCAGTGTAAGGCTGAGTAAAAATACAACATGAGAGGGAAAAAAAATGGTCATCAAATGAGAGAAGTGACAGACAGGGTAAACGCCTGGACAAACAATAAGAGCACAGTAGAAGAAGCAGAGAACTGAGTGGAGCTGCCATTGCAATGCATTACATTTATTTTGGAAGGAGATCTATTGGCTTTGCTGCTGCTGGTTTACAAACAAACGGAAACTGACATTCAAGAAAGCAGCACATCAATTTTTGACATTTTTTGGAAAGAAAAAAAAAGGGTTTTTTTTGGTGCACATTTCCCGACTGTTTTAAACAGTCTGTTACAGGGCCTGTCCCCAAGAAATCCCAGCCCAGCAGTCCCAATGACTATCACCCCATAACCCTCACATCTGTGGTGATGAAATGTTTTGAAACACTAATCAAAACCTTTATCACCTCCTCCCTACCTGCCACCCTGGACCCATTACAGTTTGCAGACTGCCCAGGTAGATCAACAGATGACACCATATCATTCCTGCTCCACAAAACTCTTTCCCACGTGGACACTGGGAGAGGGAACTATGTGTGCTGTTCATTGATTACAGTTCAACACCATAGTGCCCTCCAGGCTGGTCACCAAGCTGTGTGACCTTGGACTGAACACCTCCTTGTGTAGGTGGGTGCTACAGGTGCTACACATGGGTAACCACACATCTTCCCCCCTCACCCTCAACACTGGACCTCCTCAGGGCTGCGTGCGGAGCCCTCTGCTGTACTCTCTGTACACACATGACTGCGTATCCACATCAGACAACAACATCATCATGAAGTTTGCTGATGACACGGCTGTTGTGGGGCTCATCTCCCACAATGACGAGCAGGCCTACAGGAAGGAGGTCATCCACCTGGAGAACTGGTGCCAGGAGAATAATCTCTTGCTGAATGTCAGCAGAACTAAAGAACAACAATCAGTTGTGGATTTCAGCCAGAAACAGCAGAGGGTTTTCCATCCACTCCACATCAGTGGGTCTGAAGTGGAAAGATGTGACAGCTTTAAATACCTAGGTTTGACAGTCACACAGGACCTGTCTTGGTCACTTCACATAAAGACCACTGTGAAGAAGGCCAGACAGCCTCTCTTCTACCTCAGATGCCTGAGAGACTTCAAGCTCCCGCTCACAGTGCTCAGGAACTTTTACACCTGCACCACTGAGAGCATCCTGTGTGGGAGCATCACCACCTGGATGGGCAGCTGCACCAAGCAGGACTTCTCGGCCCTCAAGAGGGTGGTCCGTTCAGCTGAAGGGACTATCAGATCCACCCTCCCCAACCTGCAGGACATTTACACACAGTGATGTAGGTCAAGGGCTGTGAAGATCCTGAAGCAGCCTAGCCATCCTGGAAACTCCCTCTTCTCCCTGCTGCTGTCAGGCCAACGCTATTGCTGCCTAAAGACTGTAACAGTTTCTTCCCTCAGGCCATCCATTTGCTCAACTCTGAGCCTTAAACTAGACTGTAATGCACTACTCACTGGCACCTTTAAATATTTTTGCACCTTGTATGTATGTTACATGTTCCATTTGCTTTATTTGATTAGATTTTATTTTATTTATCTATGTATATATATTCCTTGAACACATTAGGTGTCTTATTTTATTTTATTTTCATTTTTTTTTATATTTTCTTTTTTATTGCAACTGGATGCAGGTACGAAGCATATTTCACAACGCATTGCACTGTGTATAAGTGTGTATGTGACAAAGTTTATCTTATGTAATTTTTTCTTGTCTAAGATGGCTCAAGGATGTGTATTTTTAAGCTAGATTTATGTATTCTTTCCAATGGGGGCAAAAGAACTGCAAAACAAGCCGACATCTTTCACTAGTTTATCTTGGCACACTTTACTAATGCAGTCCTGCAAAATCTTCAACTCCATGACAATCTCTGAGGTGTTGAGTAACATGCACCTCAAGAAAAAGGACCACGCTGCCAACATTCATGTTGTTAAATGTAAAGTCTTGCATTCAAAATTTTACTTAAACTGAAAAGTACTCATGCAGCAGAATAGCCCATCTCAGAGTTACATCATTGGTTTATTACTGTTAAATTAGTAGAGAAGAATGATTTTTGTATAAAGCCACAGTAGGTGAAACAAGTGTTTACTATTTAAATATTTCTGGTTTGTTAAAATAGGCAGTAAGCTGTAAAATAAATTCAGTTGATTAAAAGGCAGAAAAAATATTTCTCTTTAAAATATGTT